GTTTACGAGATATCGGAAAACGAAGATGAGCCAATCACCGGCCGGCTGACTTTCCGTTGGAGCCGCTCCCTGATTGGTCGGCGAAATTCCTCGTTATCTCGCAAACCGTAAATCGTGGAGAGTTGCGGAAAAGAGCTTTTCGATTGAATTTTCCTCGATGAATGTGCCGGTAATGTCGAACCTCTGGATCATCGGTTCCCCGAAGCCCCGTGAAATTATTTCGAGAGCCCGCCGGCACCATTAGCTCGAATTAGTCGCCGGCGAGGGTGCTTTACGAGAGTGCATTTCCGTCCCCGACGATTTCATACGTGTCAAGGGACATATCGCAATGCGGATATTCCGCGTCCACCATTACCGGGCTGAGAGCATCGCTCGTTCCCTTTCTTTTTATCCACGCCTCTTAAAAGCATAAACGCTTGAGAACCGATGCAGCACTCTTCAATGAAATGCCCTCAAATGCAACGTCACCTCTCCGCTCAGTAATCACAGTTTTTATATTAACCATTCTCCGAAAATTAATTCCCTCCAATTGAACGTACAAAAAAAATATATAAAATTAATTCAGCCTGAGTTAATCCGTTCATTGGATTTTTCATCGATACAGGGCTGATAGGAAATATCAATTAGCCTGTCGGATGAACATCTGGAGGCCCATTTGCCACTCGTTAAAGTCAATTCATAAATCCGATCGATCCGTAATTGCGCGACCCCGGGGATTAACTCGGCTCGACCTAATTCGCGTTTCCTCGTAGAGTCTCCGAGGAGGTGAGGGACGCAAAACCCGCAAATAGATCGTCAATCGATTTAGATCCGAACTCCCGTACCCGTGCAAACGTACGTACAAGTACCCGCACTTAGGGTCCGCCACCTGGGAAAGGAATAAATTTTGCGGAATAAAATAGGAATAGAATTTTTGAATAAAAAGATACAGGCAGGGCGGAAATAATAATCGGAGGAAAATCCTAGGAAGAGAACTGGAACTCGACCCTGAAGACGAAGTTAGATCTTCGAGCGCCTCCACCCGGATGAGGTCGACATCACCACAAGACACTTAGGGCCCACCACCTGGGAAAGGAATAAATTTTGCGGAATAAAATAGGAATAGGATTTTTGAATAAAAAGATACAGGCAGGACGGAAATAATAATCGGAGGAAAATCCTAGGAAGAGAACTGGAACTCGACCCTGAAGACGAAGTTAGATCTTTGAGCGCCTCCACCCGGATGAGGTCGACATCACTCGGTCGAAGTCTGCAGGTCCTTCTGATCCAGACGTTCGTGATAAGCGAAAGAGCTCGTGGTCCCTGGCGGCGGTTGGCATCCCTTTTTGTCGATCTGTCGCTAAAATCGATCGGCTCGTAAATCCCTCGGGAACCCCGAGAGGGACTCTGTTCTCCGGGTCGAATGTCGGGGTCGAGCACTCCGACTATCTCCCCGGGGTTCTTTCGCCTCCTCTTCTTCAGGGACCTCTTCGACATCCTCTTCGGCGGCTTCTTCAGGGACCTCTTCGCCTCCTTTTTATCGTCTCAGCTATTTCTCGTTACGCCGATATTCAATTTCTTATATTCTCCCTCTTCACCGTCCATTTGCGGATTTTTCCATCGTCATCTTCTTCAAGGTCCCCTCTATTGACATCCTCTCCCCGCGTCCCATTCTTGGATATTCTCTTCATACCCGACTTTCCCTTCTTTTTAAGCCCCATCTTCTTACCCATATCTCTCTGCATAGAGATTTTAACGAGCGATCCTTTTAGAGCCCCGCTCCCCGCCGATAAGGATCCGATCCTGAAGAGGGATAACGATCGCCTTAAATCAAGGAACAAAAGAAATGGACGCGAGACTCGACATGACCGATAAATACCGTGGGGAGGAGAGCCGGACAAATATTTAATATTTCACTTATCCCTCCGTAAAGTCGCAAACGAAATGCTCCAAAAATGACCCTTGCAAAAGTGCACTTGATTTGTGAGAAAAAAAATTAATACCGTCCCGTTTATTATTTTATCCCGATTTAGATAGACGACCATTGTTGCGTTGATATTTATTAATTCGGAATCGAATTTTTAAAAATTAATTTAGAGGTTCGGAAATATGCCGCGGAAAGGTTCTGACGAATCGGGCCCTCGTTCATGACTCGTGACATGATTTAGTTAAGTATTTTTCCCGTTTATTATTTTATCCCGATTTAGATAGACCACCATTGTTGCGTTGATATTTATTAATTGGGAATTTAATTTTTTTAAATTAATTTAGTGGTTCGGAAATATGTCGCGGAAAGGTTCTGACGAATCGGGCCCTCGTTCATGATTCGTGACATGATTTAGTTTATTATTTTTCCCGTTTATTATTTTATCCCGATTTAGATAGACCACCATTGTTGCGTTGATATTTATTAATTCGGAATAGAATTTTTTTCAATTAATTTAGAGGTTCGGAAATATGCCGCGGAAAGGTTCTGACGAATCGAGCCCTCGTTCATGACTCGTGACATGATTTTGTTTATTATTTTTCCCGTTTATTATTTTATCCCGATTTAGATAGACCACCATTGTTGCGTTGATATTTATTAATTGGGAGTTTAATTTTTTAAAATTAATTTAGAGGTTCGGAAATATGGCGCGGAAAGTTTATAACGAGTCGGGCCCTCGTTCATGAGTCGTGACATAATTTAGTTCGAGTACATTTTACACGGTCTAATTTTTACCCCAAGGAAATTAGTATGGGTAGGGCTCACGGATCGTTAATGATTCCTGTCTTCGATCGTTTCCGATCGATACGGGAAGATTCATGGGCCCATTGTTACCATCGAGCCCTGACACTCTTAAAGAAGGACCCTGACAATGCGTTATTAAATATGTTTCTAAATCCGCAGAATTTCGATAAACAAAATCATACTAGAATTTGGAATTTCCTCGCGGCTTTAATTAAAGAACAAAAGGGGAAATCAATGAATTCCTTTGGGATTGACTTAATGTTTAAATATTAAATTTCGTCTTTCGGAGCAGGCCATTTTCTCCTATTTTCGGAAGCTTTTGACATCGCCTTGACAAGGATTTCGAGTTGGCGCGTGTGTGGGATCTCCTCAAAGGACGTGAGATAGATCCTCCTCATAGATCAACGCACGTCCCCGGCACGTGGATCTTCCAATGCGTGGCCCGAATAAACAAATGGATGTCAACCAAGGCGGCGATCATCAAGGTAACATTTTCATACCGGGATTTCGATCCGAAAATTAATTCGTGTCAATGCAAATCACTCGACTAAAAATAGCGAATCACGTCTGAATTACGTTTTAGCGATAAGAATAAATCCAATTGTGCGTGCAAAAAAAAAATAGAAAATTATTCAACGCCTGAACGTTGGAATGAAAAATAGGGTTTTCTTTTAGCGATAAGGAGAAATCCAATTATGCGTGCGAAAAAAAAATAATGCGCAAATTATTCGACGTCCCAAGGGACTCAGGATCGACGAGACAGACATGCGAAATTCCCGGGTGCATTTGAAATTGCAAATTGACCGAGGAAATCCAGAACGCACTCAATTAACAGACGTCTCTCGAGACGGTCTGTACGCGTAATCCGCGTGCCGGCAAAAAGTAGATTAATTGCGGCCGTATTTCATGCAATCCGTTGATGAATCAACTTTAACGAGCCCAGCCTCTCCTCGTCTGCGAGCTTACAGGAGCTTTTTGTCGCGAGTGTCACCGATAGACATGTCGAGCAGCGAGGATTCGTTATCATAAAGATAGATCCCGTCAACGGGTGCATTTACTTTCCCGGATTCCTCCCATAAGACTTTACATCAAGACCCATATGATTTTTCCCCGCACTTTCTCCTTAAGAAACATTAAGGGGATGTGCAATTGGCATCCGAAATATGAACCGTTCATGGAGCTTTTCTATGAACCTGGATGTACCGAATCGTATCAAACTTTACAGCGTGAACGCGAAACTATAAGGGAAGTTCCGACTCTCATGAAATTTCATCGCATATAAAAAATTATTAAAATGCCCATAAACAGATATAAAAAAAGAAATGAAATTTCATGACTTTCAGGACCTATTTTCTAGTCTCCGTGTTCGGGTTGTGAAGTTTCAAGCGATTCGGTGAGCCCAATTCGGAGATAAGGTTCACACCACCTTAACGCAAAGTGTTACAAATTAATCCCCCCTAAGTGGAAAATGATAAGAATGATAAAATCGGGTAAAAGTTCCAAGAGGAGTAAGTGAGTTCACGAGAAAATAATTTGGAATTTCCCTTTAAAGTGGATAATCCTGTGATACACTTTTTTTTTTTCCGGGGAAATTCTCAGGTAAAACACCAGACGCGTCGTCACCGTCGCCGAAAATGATAAGAATGATAAACTCGGGTAAAAGTTCCCAGTGGAGCAAGCGAATTCATGAGAAAATTTGGAATTTCCCTTAAAAGTGGATAATCCTGTTGTACACTTTTTTCTTTTTTTTTTCCGGGAAATTCTCAGGTAAAACACCGGACGCGTCATCACCGTCGCCGAAAATGATAAGAATGATAAACTCGGGTAAAAGTTCCTAGTGGAGCAAGCGAATTCATGAGAAAATTTGGAATTTCCCTTAAAAGTGGATAATCCTGTGGTACACTATTTTTTTTTTTTTCCCGGGAAATTCTCAGGTAAAACACCAGACGCGTCGTCACCGTCGCCGAAAATGATAAGAATGATAAACTCGGGTAAAAGTTCCCAGTGGAGCAAGCGAATTCATGAGAAAATTTGGAATTTCCATTAAAAGTGGATAATCCTGTTGTACACTTTTTTCTTTTCTTTTTTCCGGGGAAATTCTCAGGTGAAACACCAGACGCGTCGTCACCGTCGCGGCCTCCGCGAATCAGGCCGCGGATTCCGCGTAACGGAGGCGAGCAATTTTCGCGAAATCGCGAGATTGCTCCGCGCGGCAGACCTCGGGATTGCAGGGGAGAAGAAGAGGCGTAAAAAAGAAGAGGGGAGATAAGAAGACGAGCCAGGTACTCACGTAGAAGTAGAGCTCGACGCGGTGCGAGTTCTTCGGGACGCAGGTGAGGGCTTCCGACCTGCAGCATCCGGTGTCGTCGGAGCACCTGTGCAAGATCGCGCAATGTGGAATGTACGTGGTCGAAGGACTCGGATAGACATCTCGGACAGGGATGACCCTTGCCCTAGGCCACTGGCAGCTTCCCTCTCGAGAAACCTTGATAGCGTGCTGCAACGCCTCCTTGATCTCTGCGGCTGGAAAATCAGAAGGAAAGAATTTTTTTAATTCAAGAAAACCGGAAATTAAATAAATTAAATCCCTCGGACGAACTGCTGCATTGTGCGGCCTAGCACGCACGTTATCACGGCGGGAGCGATCATTTATGCCGGTTGTAAATTCAATTTATTGTTCTTTTGACCCGACGTCGGATAGGCATGATCCTTTAACCCCTTCTCACGGATCCGCGGCGTAGATCCTTCGAAAAAAACCCGAGGAACTCCGCGGAATCAGTTATTAATCAAATTACATGTATATAAAGCTGGAATTGCCACTTTAGCACAATTCAATAAAATTTCTTGCAAAATTTATTGCTAATTCATTGTTATTTTATTGCACAAGAGAACAATTTTTTGCTCTTATACTTTGCGAAAAATGGCGGCGATGTCAGCTTTATATAAAGCTAGCACTGCCACAATAAAAAACAATTATTAAGTAAATGTTCATCGATGAATTATATACCAGAATTTATTGCTAATTAATTGCTCGCGGAGAAACCAAATTTCAATTTTTTTACTCACCCCTAAAGGGGTGAATCGCCACCCCTAGTGATGATCGCAGGACGGAAACATGAAAAACATGGAAGAATCGAACTATTTGTTCACGTGGGAATTAATCGCTAATTAATGTAGCGTTGAAAATTGTATTTTTACAAAGATATTGGTTCTTCTCGGAGCAATTAATTTCCACATGAACAAATAGTTCGATTCTTCCATGTTTTTCATGTTTCCGTCCTGCGATCAGCACTAGGGTTGGCGATGCACCCCTTTAGGGGTGAGGAAAAAAATTGAAATTTGGTTTTTCCGCGAGCAATTAATTAGCAATAAATTCTTGCATATAATTCCTCGATGAACATTTACTTAATAATTGTTTTTTATCGTGGCAGTGCTAGCTTTATATAAAGCTGACATCGCCACCATTTTTCGGAAAAGTATAGGAGCAAGAAATTTTTTTCTTGTGCAATAAAATAGCAAGAAATTTTGCAACAAATTTTATTGAATTGTGCTAAAATGGCAATTCCAGCTTTATATACATTCAAATTACAGAGGGGGGGTGTACCCGAATTTTTTGAGACAGGAGGAAAAAAAAATCTTACGCGATAATCGAGGTCCTGAATTTGCTCGTGACGAAAGGGCGGCGAAGATTTCGGGGGAAAAAAAATGGGAAAAATGGCCACGGGGGAATAACTCGCGGAGAAATGTCGCCGGCGCTTTCTAGCCGTGGCCAATGGCCAGATTATGCTAATCCTGGACGTGGGCGTCCAGACACCTTCGGGATGCTATCTCTTTCCAGGACGTGGACTCGCCGACTCGAGTCCTCCGTGTCCATAAGTCCGGAATGGGTCCGCAGATCGAACCCGCGATTTTCCATTCCGGAGGCGGCTAGTCCGGGTCTCGCGGACCGATCGGCCCAATTAACCCTTACGGAATTAATTAAGGAAAAGTTCATCTAGTTACGTTAAACCTGAAAGTTTGTGCGTTACCTCGCCACGCGTGACGATTAAGATTCCCACCCCCGCCCGGTAGAAAATGTCCTGCATTTTGGTCATTCAATCCTTACCAACAATAAATCTCGGATTTTCTAGCCAAATTCAGATTCTAATTAAACGAAAATATAATTAAGGTGAAGTGAAACCCGTCGAGGAACCTAATCGACGTCGGTTAAAATGATTTTTCTACACACCTAAGTTGCCGACGCTTGTTTTTATATTGACAGGCTGTGTCGAATTATATTGGGTATTGTACTAAATAACAAATTTCGAAAGTGTCAGGATAATTCCTAGGTGCTCACGAGTCATGTGTCGAAGTTTCAGGCGATTCGATCCAATGTAAAAAAAAAATCTTATTCGAATCGATTGATTTAAGGAAGGTTTCACTTCACCTTAAAAAAAAATATGTCTTATTCGAATCGACTGATTTGAAGGTTTCACTTCACCTTAAAAAAAGAAATGTCTTATTCGAATTGACTAATTTAAGAAAAGTTTCACTTCACCTTAAAAAAAATATGTCTTATTCGAATCGACTGATTTGTGGAAGGTTTCACTTCACCTTAAAAAAAATATGTCTTATTCGAATCGACTGATTTGAGGAAAGTTACACTTCACTTTAAAAAAAATATGTCTTATTCGAATCGACTGATTTGAGGAAAGTTACACTTCACTTTAAAAAAAATATGTCTTATTCGAATCGACTGATTTGTGAAAGGTTTCACTTCACCTTAAAAAAAAATCTTATTCGAATCGACTGATTTGAGGAAAGTTACACTTTACTTTAAAAAAAAAATATGTCTTATTCGAATCGACTGATTTGTGGAAGGTTTCACTTCACCTTAAAAAAAAATATTCGAATCGACTGATTTAAGGGAGGTTTCACTTCCCTTAACGGAAGGTTGTAAGGAGCATCGCTTTCATTACATTCTTGAGGGGGGGAAAAAAAAATTGAATAGAGAAAGAACACTAATTAACTCCGACAATAGGAAAGCAGTAGAAGACGTTGACTCGGCGCGACCAAGAAGAGACCTCTGGCTACTGCTTATCCACTTTGCAATTTGTGTAATGACCGGCGAATAAATCCTCGCGCACTCGCGACAAGTCGGTATTGACTCTCCATCGGCCGCGAGACGGGAACCGGAGGAAATAAGGAAAGAAAAGGGGCAAATCGAGGTGGCGGTAAACGTAAGCGATAAATAATCGTGAGCATCGTCGACGTAATCGGTGCAACGGCGCCCCGGGGCGGCGCAGTTGCAGTCGCAGCTGCGCCGCCGCGATTGGCATTTGCATGCAAATTAAACGACCTAAAGGAAGGAGGAGGAGGATGCCCCGGGAAGACGAGGACAGGGAAAAGGGTCCTCTCCTCTCCTTACTGCAACTGCAATCATCGCCGGGTTTAACGAGCGTCGCGAGACGTCGACGGACTCGTTAAGTCGATCGGCTGCAGTTGACCCAGTGCAGCTGCAGACGAGAGACCTTGTCCGATCGAGTGCACGAAACTCGATGACTTAACTCGAGAGACCTTACACCTCCAAAAATCCTCGTCTCAATTACCACCGTAATCTTAATCGAAAGCAACTTAACAATCTACACGTTAATGCAATCCAAACTGCAAAATGTGTCGCTAATGCATTAAAAAAATTATTCATCCGTGCAAAAGTCCTGACTGAATGTACTAAAAAAATTTCAAAGTACCCTGCCGATTTATATTCAGAATGCAATTGACATTAAATCGATACTGGTGGCCGGTGAAAAATTAAAATGGTATTGTCAGGACACATTTGCACTCATTTTTCCCGCTCTTGTTGTCCTGCTGCAAATTGTAATTATTAATGCAATTCAAACTGCAATATGTGTCGCTAACGCATTAAAAAAATTATTCATCCGTGCAAAAGTCCTAACTGAATGTACTAAAAAAATTTTAAAGTACCCTGCCGATTTAAATTCAGGATGCAAATTGATATTAAATTGATACTGGTGGCCGGTGAAAAATTAAAATGGTATTGTCAGGACACATTTGCACTCACTTTTCCCGCTCTTGTTGTCCTACTGCAAATTGCTGGGCGTATTAAAAAAATTACTCATCCGTGCAAAAGTCCTGACTGAATGTACTAAAAAAATTTTAAAGTACCCTGCCGATTTAAATTCAGGATGCAAATTGATATTAAATCGATACTGGTGGCCGGTGAAAAATTAAAATGGTATTGTCAAGACACATTTGCACTCACCCTTCCCGCTCTTGTTGTACTGCTGCAAATTGCTGCGCGTCTCTTTGACGCCTTCTCTGGTGCCCAGCGATTGCCATTTGTGGACGCTGTGTGCCGACATAGGTGGATACTCATTTTTTGCTTGATATCCATTATATTGAGACCCTGTGCCGGAATCGTAGGCCCTGGGATCTCGATGTTCGTATCGAGAGATCGAAGGAGGTTTCGTCGTGGTCGTGGTGGTAGTGGTGGTCGAGGTGGTCGTCGACGGAGTCGTGGTCGTCGAAGTGGTCATCGAGATCTCCTCGTCCTCGTTATCGTCTTCCAGGTAGTCCTATCGAACAAAAAAGAAAAAAAAAATTATCGTCACCAGAAAATCATCGACAAACGTCAAACGTTGATATGCATTTACTAATTGTAAAATAATAAGAGCTGAGAAAGAGGGAGGAAATAAATTCCCTTATCACGGGGGAATATTGGTATTTGTGGATACTTAAAAAATGATGAAAAAAAATGAATTTTGTCGGAAAAGGTCGATATCAGAAGGGCGCGGATCGAGTTATAATAATCCGTCCTCGACCTTGTTTCCCAACCACGTGGACCAGGCTGACCCTGTTAAGGGGTCTCGGTACGTGATAACGCGAACTTCGATACGGCATTCTCTCTTTCACGGGCGCCTGGAACGCGAAACGGTCATATTTAATCTCCGTTTACAGGAGGGAATAATCACCGGAGCACTTGCCCCGTAACCGACATCTGCGCCTTTGATACGCCGCTGAACGGAAACAATCCAGGGTAGCCGATGGTGCCAGAAGAGCCGCCTCGGTAAAAAATGCCCATGCAGATTTAATTTTAGACCCCCGTCCTATCACCCCCAAGCCTCACAAACCCCCCTCGAGTTCCATTCTTTTTTTAAGGAATTTATTAAAAGAGTTCAAGCGAACCCCTGAGGAGTGGCTAGAAGAGGACGTGGAACCGCCGCGCGGAGCGATGATAAAAAAATCCTGGGGGTCTCAAAAGTCGGCCGTAAATTCTGAAATAATTCCTGCGGGTTCTTTAGAGGTGGCAGGGGTAGGGAAAAAATCAGGGGGGAGTAATTCATATTTATATGAATATTTATCTCCTCGACGCGACGAAAAGGGGATTAGCGACGTCGCCTGTGCCCCCGTACCTCGGCGACTCTCGTCACGTCGACTTTACGACTTTTTTCCGCAGATTGACAGGGACTTAAACGAGCACCTCGACATCCTGGACACGTCTCTCGAGGCATATGCGAGCTCCATTGTCGTCGGGTCGTCTCTCGAGCTTACCAATCGGAAGCTCCATTAGTACGTCCCGGACGAGTCATGAAAGCTCCATACCAAGCGATTCGTAGGCGTCGAATGGTTCTCGGAAGTGCCTCGTAAACGAGCCACCAGCTCGATGAAAGTCCCCGATGATCCGCCATCGATAAATCGACGAATCGGCGATAGCCAATATCCTGATTGGCAGACGGCTTGGCATCGATCCTCGATCCTCATCAGAGATGCATTCGGCACCACGTGGACGTTCTTCGGATTCCTCATCGTGACTCTACTCCCCCGCCCGATACGTGGTCGCGCCTTTCCGCACTTTTCTACTTTCCTCGATCGAGGAGAAAGGAGAAAAAGAAAATCGGGGAAAAACCTACACCGAGTACGTGGTTTAAGGTGGAGTGAAACACGTCGAGGCACTTCATCGACGTCGATAGAGAAGATTTTTGTAAATGCCTACGCTCCCGACTTTCGTTTTTATATCGACAGCTGGGTCGAATTATATTGGGTATTGTACCAAATGGCGTACTCCACCTGTCGTTTGCGTACAATAAATATCAAGAAATCGAAGTAAAACTCCAGAAATCCTATGGATTCGTGCTTTCTGGGGCCCTAATTGACTGCAGAGGGACCCCCTGCGCCATCTGTGATTTCCAGGTCAATTAAATTTTCACTCCGAGACCTCGTATTACCGTCGTTTTGGCATAGAAGCGCATACAACACTTTTTTTCCCTTTATCCCGTTCAAATGAGAGTTTATCGATTACCAGAGTGTTCTAAATTGTCGTCAAATTGTCCTGACCCTTTCGATTCCGATATCAGAGCCTTCGATAATTGTATATTGATTGAAATATGAGAGCTCGACGCCATTTTGGTTCTGGTCTGGGCTAAGTTACAAAAATTTCTTTAAAAAATTCCAAATTTGCAATGTGTCAGGACAATTCTTAGATGATCAGGAGCGATGTGTCAAAGTTTCGGACAGTTTGGTCTTTTACCCTTAAAAAAAAGTGTATTCGAATCGACTGATTTGAAGGGGGTTTCACCTCACCTTAATTTCCCGATCGGACGACAAGTACCGCAGAAATTGGGGCGGCAATAAGTCCCCCTTTCCTTTCAATATTAAATAGGAACACTTCGCAAATCTTTTTCCCCTTTTGTGATTCGCATCCCATCATTGCACGTCGGGGAAAAACGAAATGGTACTTTGACGAAAACAGTCCCGGGGATTTTAAGAATCTCTCCGGCCGCAAATAGAACGAGTTCTGACGGTGCTCCGAACTGCTTCCATCCGCCAGTCATTCCAGCTCTCTTTTCATCTTTTCATCTCGGAGTTTCGAAATCTCGAAAGGGGGAGAGAAAAAAGGTGCCCGAGACCCTTTCCATACGGACGTGTGCTCGTCACCGTTCGAGACTCCAGCTGAGTCAGGATGGAAATCTTAAATTGCACTTCAATGAATCCTGAATGAATTCAAAGAAGCCAGTAATTAAATGTGCCCATAATTATGAAAGTGGTCTAAGTCATATATTTTTTGTTTTACATTGAATTAATTTTGTTTGAAATAATACGGCGTGAAATAACTGATAAACTCATTTTTTTTTTTTTTTTAATTTTGACTTAGACCACTTTCATAATTATGGGCACAAATATTAGTCCAGCCTATGGGCGCGACTAATGATGAAAAATTGTCCATCGAGGTGCAAACGGCGATCTGTCATTTTTATTTCTGCTGATTTACACCTCCTGGAAGACGACGAGAACTTCTTGCTGGGGTTGGTTTTTTATTTTATTTTTTATTTAATGGTTTTCTTTTTTTTTTTTTCCTCGTAAGGGGGCCATCACTGGACCCATCAGGGGATGTTCGCGGAACACGATCTCGTTCTCGGTTCCTTGTGGGTGGGCCTTTATGGTCGGGTTATCCTCGTCGTGATCAATTCGCCCGAAGACTCGCCCCTTCGCAGAGCATTGTCTTCCTCGACGCATATCTTCGATCGATGAATTTTAATTTCGTGACTCTCCCCCGGGGGGATATCTGGAGCGGAAATTTCAGACCCCGAAGGACGCGAAACAAGTCCCGAAACGAAGCGATCCATCAAACTCCGAAAAGGCAAAAATTCCGGGATTAAAAAAAAATGAAAAAAACGTGTCACTCCCTTAAACACCAAAATCCCTTGAAAACCCTTCCCTAGGTGGGGAAACACTTATTTATATATAATCCATGCCCATAATACCTAAAAACACCCTCGTAATTTTTTTCTCAATTTTTCATCCTAACCCTCCTGGACTTATAATTACTGAATAAAAAATTCAATAAAAATTCCCAGAGCCATTGCATTTATCCTCGACATAGATCTTGTTGAAAATCATAGGTTTCTCCGGAAATGTCGAAGAAGTCGCAGACGAGGACCGCCCCGAAGAGCTGGGGAGAATGCCGAAGGGGTGTTCTGACCCAGTTTTTAATTCTTGCAAATTCCCTAGATAAACCTCGAAGGGGGGCAGTTTCGTAGAGGCATCCCCGAACTTTTGGGTGGTCCAGAAGACGAGTTGCCTTGGCAAACCCGGTTTAATAACAGGAGGTGCCCCGGATGAGCACTAATGCCTCTTAATGCTCGCCGGCCACGTCGGTCGGGCAGCACTTAAGGGCGCGTAAAGTTTCTCTTTCAGTCCTTCCCTCTCCCTCGCTCTCACGGATTTTCCTATCAGCTTCTCGCTCGCTCCCGCTCTCAAGTTTTTGCCGGACGGCCAATTTCGTCGAGCCGTGCAATTTGTACATACATTTTTGGTGCCGTCCGGCTTCCTCCACCTCGCCACGCGGTTTCGGGCCTTTCGACGCTTTTGAGAGCCTCTTCGATCTCCATTCCTTTTTTTTCTTTTTTTTTTTTACCGACGACTCGCGAGTAAAAAAATCCGGAGCAAGCTGTCAGAACTAGAATTTTCCTCCCGGATTTTAATTTCTATTTCGTTGATGATATTTTCCTTTGTTTCATTTAAGGGAGGGTATTGTTTCGGGATTTTTGTCGACGGCGGTTTGGTGCTTCTCTTTAAATTTCGATTTTAGTTTGTAAAATCGCGATGACGCGAAAGTGCAGCCTCGTCTCGAGGAATTTTCAGCCAAGGTTTACGAGGTGATGGATCAATCTCGGGATGATAAGGCGACCCTTGAAATACCGAGATGCGGCACAAGTTCTCGGAAAAATGGCGCAAGCCCCGGTGCCTAAAAATGGCAGAAAAGGCCTCGAACCTTGGCTCGGAATTCCTCTGGGTCACGAACACCCAACCGCTCGGTTTTATTAATAAGACTGGAGAGTAACGCGAACGGGTCTTTAATTATAAACAATTCCCAAGAGGGGAGGCACTCCTCCTCGTCCTCGAATAAGGCGGCACTTCTTCCAAAATTAATTCCGATAAATAACCACAGGGCAGATAAACAGGTGTAATCATCCTTCAATTATCCGGAATAGTATCCTCGGTAAGGAAACGAGCCCTTCCTTGAACCTCGAGAAGATATTTCAAATTTTTTGGGGAATTTCTCATATATGAAGTATAGGCCAATCGGCGATCTCGCGATCAGCTGATCGGAGGTGACGCACCGGCTGGATTTTTTCATTTTATTTTCCCGCGCGAATTCTTCGAGGAATCGATCCCGCTACCTCTTCGAGAATTATCGCCAGATAGTCCCGTCGTCTGGGAATATATTAAGCGGGGTCGCCGACGAAAATAAAGTCCAGCGATTGGCGGCGTTCCAGGGGGAACGGTCTGCAGAGTGCAGACACGCAGTCAGCCTCCCGTTCGGTCCACAACCTGTCAGAAACCCGGGCCGAGCCCTCGAAGCACGTCTCAGACGTTCCCCAGACGAACGTCGCCGTTCGAGAAAACGTCAAAGTCGAGTCGATCTATCGATCGAGGCAAAATCACCTCGAGACGTCCACCAGCGTTAATGCGCAAAGAGTCCCATAAAAAGTGCGCTCTCTGGTTCAGCCTCGAGGATCACCGAAATTGGGATTAAACCAGCGTCAACCCTTTAAGACACGGAATGTTAAAAAAT